AGAAATAGGGGGCCAGTGGGTGGTATAATGGTTAAGGCACTGGACACTCCCACACGGTCGACCACAGTTCGAGTCCCTGACCTGGTGGCTTGCTTTCTCTCCTTCTCTCTCTCTGGCCAAACTTAAAGTAAATAAGTGAATAAATAAAATTAAATAAATAATTTTAAAAAGAAAAAAAGGAAGAAATAGGGTCACTGCAGAGATAATTAGCTAAGATGAGGTCAGCACGTGTACTTGCCACAGAGACAGAGAAAGTGAGAAACCATCCCAAGGGGAATGGCCATACGGCAATTTCTTCTCCATTCTCTTCTCGGGATTTTGGGTATGCACACACGTGCCCAGTATGAGTTTCAAGCCGTTGGGTCCAGGACTTGAACTGCAGTCAGCCATGTGGGAGTCTAGTAGGCAACCTACTGACCCCCAAAAGGGGAAAAAAAATTTTTTTTAAAGTTTTTGCCTTAGGACATGCAAGGGCATGTGTGTTTGCCTGAGAGAGACAGACAGAGACATGAGAGACACAGATTTACAGGCATAAGGAGAACGCCATATGAAGACTAGAGTTAACTGCCACAAGCCAAAGAATGCCCAGAAACTGCAGAGAGGCCTGGACCGGATCCTGCCCTAACACCTTCAGAGGGAGCCTGACTCTGCTCACACCTCAATATCAGATTTCCAGTGTTCAGCACTGTGGGATGGTCAATGTCTGTTGTTTAAGTCATCCAATTCATGGCACTTGGTTATAACAGCCCTAGAAAATGTTTGTAGAGGGCAGGCTTGGATCTTCACAGTTCCTGGATATTTCCTTACTAGCTTCATAGTCTGTGAGGCTCTTGATTTCCTTTTTGTTATGAAAGTAGTTCTTGAGTCTCATTGTCATTCTACCCAGGCTTTGATACAACTGACCCTGAGGAGCAGTTAGGATGGAAGCTAGAAACCTGTATCTCGGTGTGAAATCTGTGTGATTCCCTTCACACAGCGCTCCAGCTCGTCAGGATGTTGGGCATATGCACATGTACTCAGCATCTTTTCAGGCCAGTGGGGTCCACAGCCATGGCTGGCCATGTGGCTTCCTGCACTGCAGTTCAGTATGCTACTGCCACACCACCAGCGCTGGGCCTCTTGCTTTTGAAAATGTATTGTCAAATGGTGCCAACCAAACAAAATGCTTCCATGAGACCACCTGCTTACAACCTCTGTATTAATGAAATAATGTTTTCAATAGTTTTGTTAAAGGAGAAAAATTGGCAGGGAGAGGAATTGGCTGATAATAATAAAAGCCAATATTTATTGATTTGTTATGGTTTTTGCCATCAGGCATGTGTGCTCACTGAGAGGAGAGAGACAGAGACAGTGAGAGGAAAAGTGAGAACTAACCCCCCAGGGGGGTGGTCACGTCACAATCCTTTCTTCTCTATTCTCCTCCTGAGATTTTGGACAAGCATGTGCACATGCCTGGTGTGATTATTCAAGCTGCCAGGTCTGGGACTCAAAACCATGATCAGCCACGTGGGAGTTCAGTGCCTCACCCACCACGCCACCTGCTGGCTTCACAAAAACCAATATTTATTAAGCACAGTATAGTGTTTCACCTATGGAATCTTCTTTAATCCTCATTATAACCTTGGGAAGTGCCCACGTATTACAAATGAAAGAAATCATAGAGGGCCATGACCTCTAACCCAAATCATACAGCTAGTGAGTGTAGAGCCAAGGCCCAAACCATGGGCCGTCTGATTCCAGGGCACACGTGCCTTTGCTTCCATGGCAGACTTTCTCCTCTCCTGGGATGTGACAAAAGGATATTGGAGAGTGGGGTGGCAAGGATGTATGGGGGCTGGGTCTTGGCGACCCACAGGCTTGGGATGACTTACACTTTGCTGAGATCCACTCAGGAGCTTTTGTCTTTGTTGTGTGGTGAGGAAAAGGTTCTGTGCATGTGGAGCATAGGTACATTTTAACCGGGAACTGAATCTGATCGTGGCAAGCCATGCTACTGCAGTATTTATGGCTTATTGCCTTATAACGAAGTAACCGTGTTGGCCAATGACACCTCTCACCAACAAGTTGTGATTGTCAGCAGTGGAAGTGTATAACACCCTACCCAGACAGACTAACTATCCTAGTGCCACCTCAGCCTCTCAGCTGGTGGTTCGGGGGTGATGACAAGACATTCGCTGAAGGTTGGTGGCATCAGTGGGAGGTCAGCATGGGAGATGGGCCCTGAAGAAGCGTTTGGTGGTACTGTTTATAGTAGTGAATGGCTAGTTGCTAAGCTGGTCAGGGAAGAAGGGGTTTTCTATACTGTCTTAGTTGAGACAACCAACTCCAAATCTACCCTTTTGCCTTACTTGAGACTCTCAAGCTGGACCTTCCAAACACTTTTTCATTGCCAGTTGTGCAATGAGAGGCTTTGTAGGGTACTGGGGCTATACGTCAAGGTTGAGGGAAGTTTGTGGATGTCCCAGGGATGTTTAAAAGGCCCCATGTCAGGTGCTACACAGCTCAAGTTTTGAGAAACTACTGCCCCTCCCTATGCTCGGGCATCAGCTGGAAGCCAAGTTTACAGGACATATGACTCTTTCTTAGGGAGAGAATCCATACTGGATTTGACCAAGGATGATCTCCCATTCAAGCAGGAATAGCTAGAGACCACTGGGGTCTTTTGAGAGAGACTGGGAGACAAAGCCATGTGAGCTGAGTTGCAAAGAAAACATGTTCTAGGACAAGGTGAGTGTCACAGACATGCTACACAGAAAGTTGTCCAGAGATCTGTGGGCCTGCCATGCACCAGTCATTTCTGCGATATGTGGTATCTTCTGTCCAGATCGGTGTTCTCCTGTCCAGAGATTGCACATTCCCCCCTTTTCTTTGGCTATTTGAACTGATGACTGTCAACAAGTGGCCCAAAGTGTCCCGGTTACTGGAGGGTCTTTTGGGCTCCTCGCTGGCCCCTTGTTTGGGATCTCCCAGTGCCCTGACAGAGGTGGGAGAGGGGGTGTTTGTGATGAGGTCAGGGTTGGTGAGGGCCTCCTGAGACAAGGCAGAAGTTGGGGGATCCAGAAGCGGAGCCACATCTACTCTCCACTCTCTTAGACTCAGATTGGGGTGCTGCACCCTGGGGAGGTTGTCCACATGCTCAAAGCCAGGAGGAGTGGCTTGACTCCCCAAGTGTGGTACAGAATTTGTGTGGAGCCAGCAGCAGCTTGGTAGCTGGGACTGGCCTCCAGGCTCCCTTGGAGGCAGGTAGGGGTGGACGGGGGCTACATGTTAGAGTGGAAGAGGTAGTTGGTAATGGAGAGACCTCGGGCCTTTGAGATGTCCTGGGGTGGGTAGTCACAAAAAATTCTATATCGTGATATCACTTTGTCGTGGCTAGGCCGGAATGCCAGTCTTTACTCTCACTTACTGATTCGTGATCCTGACCAAGTCATTTAACCTTTCTGAACCCTGGGTCTGAAGAAAATACCCTAATCTCAGGGCCTCAGGAAGTAGAAATGGCACTGAAGCTGTACCAGAGCACTACTCACTAAGCACTAAGTTGGGCCAGCCTGCTTTGTGGTCCAGGCTTAGTGAATAGTAGTATCATAAAGAGAAGGACCTGAGAAGGTGTCTGTAGGTCCAGGGACATGCAGACCCTCAGCCTTACCTAAGAGATGCACATCTGACAGGTACATCCCTGGAGCTGCCCAGACATATAGTGAAGGGCCAAGCTAAAAATAATTGGAGTGGCATTTACTGAGTGGTTTACGTGGGCCAGGCACTGTCCTACGGACTCTACATGCATGAACTGATTTAATACTCCCAACTAGGGGTGGTGTATGTATGTGTATATATATATATATATGTTTTTTACCACGTTTGACCCTCTGCCCTTTCCCACTCTCTTATTACCCTATCTCTGCTATATACAGTTGTCTTCCATTCCTTTTCCCCCAACATTTTGTTGATCACACAATATCATAAGTAACCTAACTACTTTCAATAGCAGGTTCAGCTGGTAATTTCAAGAAAAGCAATTTTGAACTGGTAATGATATTTCCTTGAAACTTAAAGCCTAGAAACAGGTTAGTATTCTGTTCAAATAATAGGTACATGCACCTATTGACAGCTCAAGACAGGACAAAAATCCTTTAAAACCGGACAACAAAGCTTAGAAGAAAAGCAGCAATATTTTAGTCAAGTCACAGAATGTTGTTTCATCAGTTCAGTCTCATGTACTTAATTTTTCTTCTGTTGAGGTTTGATATTCCAGATTGAATTCTGGGATATAATATTCATCTCCAGACATTGTCCCTACAATTAAGTTGCCCATTTTCTTAGTTTTTGAACTCTTATTTCTGTGTGTCTGCATTTAATTTTACTGACATAGCACTCCTTTAAGAACTTCTTGGAGATCTGGTCTGGTGCTGGTAAATTCTTTCAGGTTTTGTTTATCTGGGAATGTTCGTGTCTTTTCTTCCCAAATGAACAATAATCTTGCTGGGTACAGTATTCTAAGTTGAAATTGCTTTTTCCTTAATACTTTGAATATACTTTCCCATTCTTTCCTTGCTCACTTTGTTTCCGATGAGAGGTCTGCTGTTAGTCTGATGGGATTCCCTTTGTAGGTAACTTGCCGTTTTTCTCTTGCCAATCTTAGTATCTTGTCTTTGTCTG